GTGTCGCAGGATGAAGGCCAAGGTGGGGGGGTTTCTTTGGGGCCCCAGGTGTGTTCTGTGGGTTGGTGGGTTATGGGGTGGCGGGCTTCCTCTTTCAAGGCTTGCTCCGGGGGTGGGGTGAGGTGGGTGGGTGGCTCACTTGGGGTGGGTGCCAAGAAGGGGACCTGCAAACCATCACTTTGGGGGACTTTCTTGGGTCTCCCCCCCCACAAGACCCCTTTGTGAGAATTCCCTTTTTCCCCCCAGAAAGTTCCCCCAAGTACAGTTGTTGCACGCTTCCTCGTTAGCCCCATGAGTTGGGGGTACTGTTTGATCCTGCACCTCCCCCCAAACAGACCACGGAGACAAGAAAGGTGGTGTGTGGTTCGTCCTTGGACTCTCGGGGTGCAGGAGAATTTCTTGGGACAGAAAAGGGCTTGGCTTGGCGCAAACGCAAAGGGTAAAAGGAATTAGTTGATGGATAGTTTAGTGATGGATGGTTTAGTGGTTTCTAGGCATCTGGCTGCAGAGCCAGAAGTTGGAAAAGGGCTTGGCTTGGCGCAAACACGAAGGGTAAAAGGAATTAGTTGCTGTATGAACTGATGGATAGTTTCGTGGTTTCTAGGCATCTGACTGCAGAGCCAGAAGTTGGGAGTTCAGTTCCCCGCTGTGCTTCCTCAATAGGGGCTGGACTGGATGATCTATAGGGACCCTTCCAGGTCTCAGGTTGAATGCTGGATAGCTCAGTTTCTGGGTCTCCAGTTGCGGAGCCGAGGTTAGGGGTTCGATTCTTGACTTTGCCTCCTGGACAAAAAAGCTGGACTTCATGATCTGTAGGGTCCCTTCCAGCTGTGCAGTTCTGAGATGGTTATTGTAAGAACTGTTGGGTAACTCAGTGGTTTAGATATTTGGCTGCAGAGCAAAATGTTGGGAGTTTGATTCCCCACTTTGCCTCCTTGACAGGAGCAGGACTCAGGGATCATTCTACTGTACTGTATAAGGTCTCTTACAGCTCTGCAGTTCAAAGATCATTATTATCCAAAGTTTTTGGATTATGATCCTGCTAAATTCTCTAGACCTTTGTGTGATTCTGTACCTTTACAACTTGGTGGGTGTCTTCTTTGATTCTTGCTTGTGAAGCTGTTTATGTTCCCTGAAAATGCTGTGGATTGGAGATAATACCTCGATATGAGCAATACAAGGAGTATTAGTGGAAACAGAAGAATTTTCAATAAGTAAATCCTGTTAGATGCTGAGGTACCACAAGTATGTTAGTTTTGAAGCTGCTGATTTTCATGTAGAACAAAATATTTCTCAGCTACTTGCCTTTTCCCTTAGTCCAGTATCTTCCGTATTGTGTCCTTGGATTCCAAAGGCTGTCCACTCTTTCTCTATATAACCCAACGGCCAGCCTAATGCCCTTATCTTCTTTTGGTCAAGCTCTGTAGGAAGCAGACAATTCCACTGTTTCTCACAGGTGAGAGGAAGTAGGCTTGATTGTTGTTGTTGTTGTGTGCCGTCAAGTCAGAAGTAACTTTAATAAGGTTTTCAAGCTACTGTATATATGGTATTTAAAAAGTGGTTTTACCAATTCTAGCCCCCCCCCCCATCTCCCTAGGTTTTCATGGCAGAACTGGTCTTCTGAAATCTAGGTCTTCTGAAATCTAGTCCTTTATTCTATCCACCGCACTAGGAACCACGTAGGCTTCATTATTCTTGTTATTCTGTTACTGGGAGTAAAACTTTTTGGAGGTGAAAATGTGATTCCAGTTTCAGTCCAGAGAAGAAGAGAGATTCAGGTATCGGAAGCTTAGAAAAAAGAGTCATGGACCTAAGTCCAGTTAGTAGTCTCAACTAGAGTGGACCTATTGTGAACTGACGTGTGGTGAGTCAACTTGCATAAATCAGTTGGTCTACCCCTTGGTTGACATTATCGATTGGGTTTAGACCTCCCCTTGAAATACTGTATTGCATTGCTAGCTCTTTGAAATGGCTTGAAGAATCTTCCCAGTGGATACTTTTTAGCGAAATAAGTACAGTACAGTAAATAAAATAAAATTCCTGTTTTGGATTTGTTACGCACTTTCTAGCGAAATGGAATATTTCTACTAAGGTTGCTTAGTACTTAATAAAGTATTTGGGTACCCTGTCTTTTTGCACCTCTTAAGAGTTCCGTTGTCTGTGTTTGATCAAGAGCTTGGTCGTTGTAAAATGGGGTTTTGGACTATGATAATTAGCAAATACGAGTGCAGAGGGCAACACAGTCCTTTTGTGAAGTGTAAATCATGCACTGAAAGACTTTTGCAAACTGAGTGCAAGGTCTGTTTGTAGAGAGGAGTCTTTTAATTCATTAATTTAAAATAGTTCTTTTGGGGTCTATTGCAGGCTGAAATTACTATTTTTTGTACTTAAAGTTATTTCCCATCTTCCAGTGAGTTACTGTATGGTTTATGAATGCATTACATTTTGAAAATGAACTAAATTCAAATGCTTTTTCTGTAAACCATTTGAATGCATTTAGTGCATTGATTCAGCCTTAAGTATGGTGGTAACGATCAAGCATCACATTGGGAGCAAACTGTGATGCAGAAAGTGGTGCTTAACTTGTGTGTTTTAGGGGTAACTAATTAATGTGTGTGCGATTTATGTGGTCAGTCGGAGGCCACACTTGTAGTTACTAGGAATGTTGTGCAGTTTTAGTGGGGATGCATTTAATATGTGTGTTTCTTGGTTTTTAAATAGCTACAGCAAACCACAACACATATGGGGATGAATCATGCTGAAATTCGTGTTCCCAACCTTAAGCTAGTGTACAGTCTAGGAGAGAAGCTACCATGAGTTGGGTTTCATCTGGAATGCAATGTAGACTGAAATGTCTAGAAATGTTTTTGCAACCCCAGTCATGCTACTATTTAAGAAGGGGAAATAGGACAAATTAAGAACATGAAAGCAACAGCTCCTTGTAACACATTTATCTTATTATTGGTTTTGTAATTATGGCCCACGTTTTCAGGACCCTTGCTTGTTTCATCAGATGCATCTGATGATTAAATGCATTTGCTCCTTGAATATATAATTTAGTAAGCTTCACACTAGATTACAGTAAAACCATTGTGGTAGAAATTTGGTTGCTTAACATAGTAAATCAAACCACTGTAGGCTCATTGAGTTGTGAAGATTTGGTGAATCAACTATGTCAGTGTCACGTATTCAAAGAGACTTAATCTAGCTGTGAGTTACTGTACTAAAGTAAGCTGCAATTTGTGGCAGTCCGTTTGAATCAATGAAACTTATGGAGGAGTTGACTCGCCAAGCATCCTCTGATTCAATAGGCTTGCTCCAGCGCGATTTACTACGCCGGGCAACAGGATTTGACCTAATATTTAAATTTATGCCCTGTTGCCTGGAGGTCTCGGATACATATTCACAAGTTACTGTAACACCTAATACTGGCCCACTTTACACAGTCTATGGTTATACCTTATGAGGATCCTGTTTCACAGCTTCTAGATCAAAAGGCTATTCATTGTTCTGTGTCAACAAACTTCCACGTCTCTAGCTGATAAAACTGAACTTTGAGCTGCTTCTTTGCCCTTGCAGGGTTTTAGCAAAAACTTGCACGGCATCAACAGCCTAATCTTGTTTGTCATCCTACATAAACATTAAATCAGATCCTGTGCAGAAGTTGATCTCATCACTAGTCCTGTGACACAGGCCAACTAAGCAGCTGATGGCGCAGTCCTCGGAGTGCCTGCCACAGTGGAAGCAGCACAAAAGTCCAGGTTGTTTTCCTTCTGCTGACATGGGTGATTCCCAGGGCAAACTTTCCATGCATCTCTAGAATGAGTTACAGGCTGTTTTGAATGTACATTGTGCTTGCATACCAGTCGCTGTGGGAGGTTGCACTCTTGAAAGGATTCTGATGCAGGCTCCTTCGTCATTCAGTCTCTGTGCGGCCCAAGGACATGTTCAGGATCTTTTGTGGTGGCGGTGATCTCACTTCCAGATGGTATCAGGGCATGTTCGTTATTCCGCTCCTGGGATGATCAGCATTGAACCAGCACTGGATTGAGAGTCACTTGACCCTGCTGCCTTTCTATTCAGCAAAGAGGCAGGAGACTTGTGAAGCTCAGATTTCAAGAGAGCTGCCTCATCATCCAAGTTCTGCGTGCTATGCTTGGAGTCTGTGCTAGGCTGGACAATAATACACCCTGTGCTACTAAGAGCCAATTGCCTCTGGAGGTGGTGAGTGCTCCAGTGCTGGAGGCCGTCAAGAGACAATTGGAGAACTCTCTGCCAGATCTGCTTTGATTGGGATTCCTGCACCGAGCAGGGCGTTGGACCAGATAGCCTTCGAAGCTCTCTCCAACTCCATCGTTCTGTGACGATGAGATTCTAAGCCAGGCTGAATGACAAAGTGCCGGGTAGTGGAATTGTCCCTTCCTATTACCATGCACTTTTTTCTCCACCACTTGCATCCCATACTTTCTGCTAGTTCTGGTGGCCACCCTTTTGGAGCATACCCTCTGGATCCAACTTGGAGGGGCCTGTGTTAATTATCTGGGATAATCTGCCTTGCTTTGAGAAAACTTCCATGTTACATGAATGGGTCGGATAGCAGCGCAGGTTGAGTGGCATTTCCCCTTATTAAACTGAACACAGATTTTGGTGACCAGCGTCCTCTAAGTACATTGATGCTGTGTCAGTAATTCCTAACTGTTGGTTATGGGACTTGTAGTCCAAGAACATCTGGTCCCTTCCCCTCCCCCCCATGTTGAAAATCTCTGTGGTATGGCTTTTCAGCTAGAGATTTCAGCATGCTGCTTGATGTTCATGGCTCTATATGACTTTCCCTGTAGTTCAGGAAAATCAAAACAGATGGAAGGGGCCCATTATTTCCTTCCGTTTGCTGGGCGATGCATTGTACAGGCATTTAGATGGCTTGCAGGCTGGTATTTCTGTATGTTTCCTTGCACAAACTTGGAAAGTGTCCAGTCATTCACACAACAGATCGCTGCACAGTTGGAAGGAGTGAATGGGATCCTGCCTGGAGATGAGAAAACTGCGTTGGGTGAAAACAGAGCAACGTGTTTGTTCTCTTTGTACCGTTCCAGGCTCTCAGATCCTTGGAACAGAAATAAATGAAGAGGAAAAACAAAATGCCCCTTGTAAGCTGGAGTCAAATTTTAGAAAGAGGCTATGCAGAAAGTTATTCCTACTTAGATTCGGTGAAGTGCTATGTATTTAGTGGTGCTTACAAGGCTATAATCCTGCCCATTAGATACTTGGGAAGAATCCCATTAAATATCCAGCCAAGCAGTTCTAGAATTCTGCTGTTTTTCTCCTGTCATTTGCATACTTCTTTTGCAGTAAGTTCTTCTGTGTTTAGTGGAGCTTACTTCCAGAGAATTGTGCCTAGAACTGTAGGTGTTTTGTATGATATCTATCTGAAGGTCCATTTTCTTTCACCTGGAAGAACCAGAAAGCTCCCAGGTGGTTTGACCAATAGCAGTGTGATATGTGTCCTTCAGTCAAAGAAGCTGCTCATTGGCTTTTCACTTCCTGTTTCTTTTTCACTTTCTGGCTGATGCCAGGCAATGCAAACAATCCAGTGGTGACCCTTTAGTTCTGCCTGCTTAGCAGATGGCCTGGACTTGTTGGCATTTGCCAGAGCCTGGTAGGACTGGCTTGCGGTGGCCTCCCATCCTTCAAACAGAGCGTCCCAAATGTGTCCTCATTTAAAATTATTAGACCTGCACTGTTTGCTTGGCATTTGAGCTTGCTTGCATTGTGTATTTTTGGAAGCAGCCATGGTGCCGGTGTGTGGGCTTATTTCTGAGCTGGCTGTTCCCATGCAGGAAGGCAGGTGGCCATCAGTAGCCCAAGTGCCAAAAAGGCAGCCTTTTGGTGTATGTGGGTGGCTGCCGTGGAGGATTGAGAAGGCTTGCTTCATGTATTTGTCCTGTGTTTGAAGAACACCTGACTGCGTAACATGCAGAGTGGCCTGACTCATCTTTAACATCAGCAGAACTCGAGAGCAAACCTGGGAAGGTCTTTGTCTGGATGAGGCTTGTAAACGTTTTGTAGACAGCGGCGTCAGTTATGGGGTACGTTCCTGTTTCTTGAAGGTCACCTGTCTCTCTTATCCATTTTACAGAGTTCTGTGTCTGCCCATTAAGGCCATGGAGAAGAGGTTGGAAGGTAACGTCAGCGTCAGCTCTCTGAATATCCTGGGAGACTTCCTTAGAAAAGCTGCCAAGCCTCTGGGCCATCTTCACTTCCTCTACATGTGTGCCTGCCTCAACGCCCTTTGTTCTCATCATGCAGGTGATTATTCCCAGTTCTCCTTCTGAGATTTTTTTTAAAAATGGTTGAATTGCTTTAAATGTCCCCATGAAATCATTTCATGCACAACATGGTGGTTTCTTGAAATACTCTACTGCGTAGGACCCTCAGTCATTAAGGATGTATCAGCCTAAGCAATGCAGGCGTTTTGGGTTCAGGTTAAATTATCCTGTGCAACTGAGGGTTAGCTTCCAAGTATTTGGAAAACATAGCTGGTGGCATCTGTTGCAAAGAAGGCTGCACTGAGGTTCCAACATCCTGGATATTGTCAGAATAATTGAGTTGGAAGGGGCCTAGGAGACCATCGAGTCTAGCTCCCTGCCTTGAGCAGCGGGGTTGGACTCAGTGGCCTTACAAGCCTCTTCCCACTCAATGGCTCTATGATCCTATTGCAGTACTTTCCATCCCAAGCATGTTCAGAGCAGAACGTCCCACCTGACATGCTTTTAAGCCAATGATTGTTAGGGGGACAATGTTTCCAATACGCCTTCAGAGCATCTGTGTGTGCTGAGTTTTCAAACTGTGTTTTTTCCCCTGCTTTTAAAATACAAAGAGACTCTACAAGAGGACCTTGTTTTTTTGCGAGAGTGTTTTGTGCACATGTCCAAATACAAAACAGAAAAAGAATAAATCTCCAAATGAGTAGGTTCCTTTCTATTATTTGCTGCTCTTCTCTAGGAGGTACATCAGCTGTAACCCCAACACTCGTAAGCACTTCCAAAGCAAAAACACTGAACACTACATTTGCGCACCATTCCTATGAAATCCAGCCTTTGCGTGTTTTGAACTCGGGAGTATCTGTCTATAAGCGAAAAGCAGCACAGAGAACGTTCCTCAGTCAAGCAGATTTCTATTCAGGATGGTTATACATAAAGGTTTAAAATCTATATTTCAAAAACAAATTATTAATATCATATGTTATTTTTTAAAAACTTTACTGATGTATAATTATCTTGCTTGCATTCAAATAGAGCTGATTTGGTCCTTGGTAAAAATCAGGAAAAGGCAGTTAAGGAATTTAAGGTCTCAAAAAAGTAACATTGTTACATAGACGTGAATTTCCTGAGTTAATTTTCTGGTCCTCCCTGTTCTTGCTATTTAGAAAAGCCTTTAAAAACCAGGCTTCCAGCTGGCAGATAGGTTATGTTTAAAAAAAAAATACTGGAGGGAACATTTGTACTGATATCATCACATTTAATCTCACTGGGCTAGTAGCTGGTAAAATCTGCCCGCTTGCCCTCCTGGGCTGTTGTTACGGGCTCCATAATTATCCTGTGTGATCACTGACATTTGGCAAGTGAGAAATTTGATTAAGCTGATGTGCAGCAAGTGAGTCATTAATCTCTAGGTTGGCACACACATAAGAGAGCTGATTTAAAATGCTGGATTTGTTATCCTGTGTGGGGGAAGGTTGAAGAGTGTAAGTAGTAATCATTGTGGGTTTAGTTAAAATGTCTTTGCCGGCTTGTTTGCTTTCCCTGAGTTCTGAACCCTTGGGCCTGCCAGAATGATGTTTCAGGTACTGCTGCCTTTTAGTTTATTTTCCTTCTCAACCATAGCTGCAGTATTTTAGATATTTTCTAAATACAAGCACGAGCCAGATTAGGAGTGCCTTCTACGGGTGGTAGCATTTGTCATCTTCAAAAACAGAGAGTAGTCGTGTTGATCCATGAGAATGAAACAAAAGTCAAATTTACAGGCAAGCTGACCTTTGCTCAGAGCAACTAAAGCTCCACGGAAATTTTTACGAAATGTGAGTTCTCCTATAATCTCCGTCAGCCTTAATGGCATAGAAAGAGAGAAGGTGGGAGCAGCTGTTGTTGTGACCCCTGAGGTCTGCTTTTTAAACCCAGTTCCAGGGTGGGGAATCTCTGGAGACAGTTTTCCGGTTCAGGAGCCCAGTATGCTGTCCAGTAAACCAGTGGGGCCCAACCTTGGATAACGGACAGTTTTCCGGTTCAGGAGCCCAATATGCTGTCCAGTGAACCAGTGGGGGATAAGTCAGGTGTTCTTGGACTGCAACTCCAGAAATAATGTCCAGGATAGCCGGTGGTGATGGCTTCTGGGAATTGCAGTCCACAAAGACCTGAGTTATCCAAGGTTGGGCCCCACTGGTTTACCGGATAGCATCTCGGGCTCCTGAACCTGAAAACTGTCTAGGCAGTTGCAAATAAAATTTGGAGGCATTGGCTGATATTTGGTGGCAAAGGCGTGGCTTTCCATGGTGGTGCTGTCTGCGGTAACTAGAAGGAAACCAAGGCAAAATGAAGCAGACGAAGGAAGCAAGCGGTAACGAGGACATATTGCTGAGCAGTGTACTTGCAGCAGTTTTGTCTAGAGTGGAGGCATGTTTTATCATCATCATCATCATCACCTTAGAACTGCAGAGCTGGAAAGGACCCTCTGGTCTAGCCCCTGTCAAAGAGGCCCCAGTGGGGGAATTGACCTCCCAACCTCTGGCTCTGCCGCCAGAGGCCTAAATCACTGAGCTATGGAGAAGTTCTGCATGTTGTTCTCTGCTTTGGGTGGTAATTAGAGGAAAGCATAGTGTTGGTTATTTAAAAAAGAAAAGACCTTGAGGAGCATGGAGGTATGGCTGCATTTTACCCATTCTTGGTTTAGAAAAGTTACCCTAGTGCATTCAATTGGCTTGCTTTCTCTCTTCTTGATTTTTTTTGCTATGGGCAACTTTCTACTTAGGCCTGATAATAGGACAAGTGGTTATTGTTTAGGTCTTGCCACGCTGCCACTTTAAAAGCCTCATTGTTTTCAAACAACAATGTGCTTGTCAGCTGTTGACATTGAACAAGCATCTTTTCTTTATTTCTTGTTGCAAGAGAAGGTTTCACGAGTACCACCCCTACGGTTCTTCTGTAGACAGCTAGTTTTATTTTATTCTTAACTAGAGTGAACATTAAGGCTAACATATACCCTCTTAGAAAGATGGGGGATGAGCAACTCATTGGCGACTGTAAGGCCACACTGGGAATATATCATAACAAGCTGGGGATCTGTAAGTGAGATTCTGATTTTAGGTCTCTAATTAGTGGAGCAGGTATGCATCTGTGTTATGAACACGGTGAGCTACTAACCATGACTATCCTGTTACTGCTAATAATTTTTCCCCTAAGGGTCAAAGTGTTAGAATTATCTAAGGCATCTTTCTGGAAACCTCTCTGTAGTTCATTTTCATATAGTTCTCATTTTATTGCCTGGGACCAAGAGACCGGACCTGGTTATCCTTTCAACGGAAGCATGAGATTTAGGCCCTGGATAAGTTTTGTTAACATACACAGATTTGACATTTATGGAACTTGTTAGCATAATAAATCTGGGCATTTAAAACTTTCGTGTTTTTTTTTGTTTCTAGCACTTCCACGTATTTTTCTTCATCATAGTCAAAATAGTCTTATGTAACTTACATCAGTCGAGAAGAAATAATGTTGCTGCTAGTGACAGATGGCCACTAATTTAAAAGTTCCTGCTTCGGTTCCTTGTGACTTCGGCTTTCTCTCACTGTGCACAAGTCATGTACGACTCAAAATGGAAGTCGGGCCTCATTAATTAGTAGACAGACTGACATCATTTCCCCTTCCACCAGCTATAAGTTACCGGAGAGGATTTTGGCCAATGTGTCTGCATAAAAACAAGGGATAATTAAAGCAAATCAGGATTGGAGAATTCAGGTATAAATATATTAACTGAATGACAATGCCATCTGTCTCATGATTTTGACATCCGAGGCATATCCAGGAGTGTAGCACTGCACATGATAAGAGTGCAGGGGGGTGGATTAACTAATGTCAGGGCTTTTGGGCAAATCTTTGGTTCCAAGTACAAGTGTTTGGTTCCAAGTCCCAAGGCCAGAGTCTTGTTCTCTTAAAAACAAGCTTTTTTTCTCCCCAGAAAAAAAATTAGGGGGTGGGTGGGATCCAAGTTGCAAGTTGAGTCCAAGTCATTGAAAAGAAAAAAAATTAGGGGGTGGGTGGGATCCCGGTTGCAAGTTGAGTCCAAGTCATTGAAAAAAAAAAGTCCAAGTTGAGTCCGACTTGACAGTGGGACCTGTGACGCCAGTCCCCATTCCCGCCTAGTATTTTCTGTCTTTCCAGCTCTTGCTGATCCCCAGTGAAATCTAACTCCATTGTATCCCCTGATGAAGGTCTTGGTCTTTAGTTTAGGGGGTGGGTGGGATCCCGGTTGCAAGTTGAGTCCAAGTCATTGAAAAAAAAAAGTCCAAGTTGAGTCCGACTTGACAGTGGGACCTGTGACGCCAGTCCCCATTCCCGCCTAGTATTTTCTGTCTTTCCAGCTCTTGCTGATCCCCAGTGAAATCTAACTCCATTGTATCCCCTGATGAAGGTCTTGGTCTTTAGTATCCCCTCCTCCCACCATCTCTCACATTACATCATTGCATCCTAAAACAGTATGCAGGCAACAAGGACTTAAAATCAGCCCTTCTTCTTCTACTTCCCCCCCGTTCCACTTGCTTTTAAGGTCTTGCCTGACAAAGATGCAATATTTTTGAAGGTTTGCATTTATGAGCACATCTGTTCACTGTTGTGCAGGCCTGTAACATTTTTGCCGCAGTGTGTAGTTTGGGGTTTGTTTAGGGCAGGGGCGGCTGCCTTGCTGTTTGTGTCTGATTAGTTCTGCCGGAGCCCAAGGGAACAAAAATTTGGCAGGAGGCTCTTTGAAATCCTTCTCGAGCTGTCTTTGGTTAAACCGGTTTCACTCGTGATCTCCTTCTGTGGCTGTTTCAGGGGCCATCCAGCAGGAAGTTCTGGGTAAGCCCTGCTGAAATGAGTCCACCTCCTTCCTCATGCATGTCCCACTTGGCAGTAACCCGTTCTCAGTACCTTTTGCAACTTGAGCCATAGTACTTTGGTCACACGTTGTGTTGTGCATCAGGAAATGCAGCTTTCTGAGATAGAGTCTAGCGTCTTGAGAGGTCTGAACATTCAAGAGGTTTATTTTCCGAGATT